ATTATATTATTATTATCATCATCATCATTATTACTATCATTATTATCATTATTATTATTATTTCATTTCATTTCTATACACATTCATTATACATAAACTTGACACTAATGATAAAGAGTGATATTGATGATAACTATAATCGCAAACATTGTTATCATTATTATCATCATGATCGCTAATATTCACTTATCCATTATTCCCATTATCATATCTTTATCTTTGCCCTTGTTTCTTATTTTTTCCTTCCTCACTGCTTTACAGATTATTCAATTTTAGTGTCTCTAGAAAGTATATTGTTGAGAAATATCTATTCACTGTAATGGTAAACAGACGATTTTTTTTATAATGGGTTGATGGAAATATTACGTTTTATGTAATCGAAAATCACAAGCGAATTATTTTGAAATCCGTTTAAATTTATTTGTTTACATCTATATATTTCTTTTCTTTCAATTGTTATTATTTCTTTTCATATAATTGCGTTTTGAAAATGCTTTGGGTCTTTCCTTAAATAACAAATCTTTATAGTAAGAGAAGCAATCAGTTTAAGAATAAGGTTATGTTGATTATTAATAACCTGTCTTTTGATTAAATGGGAAAAATAAAAGTATGGATTGATTGAAACATATCTGGATTTTTAATACGTTTTCCACTTTTTTCTTAATCCTTGAACGAAGATATTTGAATCAAAAACATTATTCCATAATATATACATCCAAATCAATAAAAACAAATATAAAGAAACAAATAATCTTAATTCTTACCACACCACCATGATACCAGCTGATGCCGAGGTCACGTGACTGCACCGTAAGACCAGCATCGGCAGCGTATTTACTTCCGGTGACTTGCAGACACTTGGCACTCTCCGGACACTGGCACTCTGGCGGAACGGATCAGCTGATCTTCTGAAAAGGCAGCGGTGGACTTTTTTTTCGGAAAGGGAGACAACGGTCGATTCAGATATATGTTCTGTGTCTCTTGTATAGGGTGTGTGTGTGTGTGTGTGTGTGTGTGTGTGTGTGTGTGTGTGTGTGTGTGTGTGTGTGTGTGTGTGTGTGCTCGCGTGTGTGTGTGAGTGCTGTGTATGTGTGTGTGTGTATTTGTATGTGCGTATGTGTGTGCGTGTGCGTATGTGTGTGTGTCTGTGTGTGCGTGTTTGGTGTGTGTGTGTCCGTCTGTATGTGTTTTTATATCTTTGTGTGTGTTTTTTTTCGGCCAATTGTTAAAAAAATGACCTTATACAATTCGTCTACAACGACCTCAACAAAATATCCGAATCTATGACGTAACTCTCCAGTGCCTTACAGCTGTCCATTCATTTCACTCTGACGCAAAAAACCACAAAGTGAGATCGGAGAAAACGTTTTTTTTTTTTTTTTTTTTTTTTTTTGAAAATTGTTGTATTTTTTTTTTTTTGGAGTTGAATGATAGGAGATTGTTTTTTTCTTATGAATTTAACTTAT